TATTTACAGAAAAGTATTTAGCACCTATCAAGGTAAAATTCACAATGTCTGACATCCAGTCAGACTACCAGACATGCACAGAAACAGGAATATAATGACTTGTAATGAGGAGAAAAAAATGCAATCAAAACTAACCAGGAACTGACAAAGATGTTAGCATTAGCAAGCAATGACATTAAAACAATTATTATAATTTGATTTCATATGTTCAAAACATTAACTAGAGACATGGAAGTATTTTTTAAAGACTCAGATTGAGTTTACAGAGATGAAAAGCTGAGATGAAAAATACACTAAATAGTATTGAAGGCAGATTAGATATTTCAAAACATATTAGTGAATGTGAAGGCAGAATAAAAACTATTCAAAATGAAACACAAATACAAAAAAATTAAACATTTTGAAGCCTTAATGAGCTGTGTAACACCTTTAAGGGTCCTTATATGAGGAGGATCCCCCCAAAAACCAGAATAATCTTCTGGTTGGTGGGCCCTTTGTAGTACAGGCTTCCTCTGCTAGGTGAGTGTTACAGGAACCCATCTGTATCAGTGTTCCAGCTGGAATTATTGTGAGAGACTGAGTTCAGCTACAGTGATTTTTTTTTTTTGCAGACTCTTAACAATGTATTTGCCCATTTCATGATGGGTGATTTACAAGTGCACCTGACCACACCATTCTGAGTGTTCCGCAGTTTTTGACGAAAAATGGCATGACCCATGCCCCACCCTCTCTAATCACCTGATCTCACCCAAGTGACTATTTTTTTCTTTCCCTGGATGAAAAAAGTTCTCAAAGGGAATGATTTGCCAATATGGAAGAGGTAAAACAAAAAATGGCAGAAGCACTAAAAAGCATCAAAATAAACAAATTTAAAAACTGTTTTGAGCAGTGGAAAAAATGTCTGTCTAGATAGGTGTATTGCATGCAATGGAGAGTACTTTGAAGGTGACTAACATTTAAACATGTAAGAATAAGTAGAGATTTTTTATAAATATATTTTTTAAAGATTTTATTTATTTATTTTAGGGAGGGGAAGGGAGGAGAAAGACAGGGAGAGACACATCAATGTGAAGTTGCCTCTCGCATGCCCCCGATTGGGGACCTAGCCTACAACCCAGGCATGTGTCCTAGACTGGGAATTGAACCAGCGACCCTTTGGTTTGCAGGCTGGCACTCAGTCCACTGAGTCACACCAGTGAGGGCTAAATCCCTTTTTTTTTTTTTTTTTTTTTTTTTTTGTGGGGGCGTGCAGGAGTCCTTCCTTGTATATGTGTAATTGTAGTCTTCAAAGAAAAGGAGGGGGAGCAAAAACATTTAAAAAACACTAGCCAGAAAATCCTTACATTTTATCAAAACTATAAACCCACAGATCCAAGGAATTCCATGAACTCCAAGTGCATGAAAAAAGGAAGAAAACTACAAAAATACATCACAGTCAAATTGCTCAAAGCTAGTGATACAAAGAAAATCTCAAAAGCAATGAAAAAAATGTCACATTACATATAGAAGACTAAATCTAAGAGTGTCAGCAAATTTATCCTTGGAAACAATGGAAACAAAGGCAGCAGAACAGCATCCTTAAAGTTTCAAAAGGAAACACCAGAATACTAACTATATATTCAGAGAAAATGTCTTTCAAAAAATAAAGGTGATACTTTTTCAGAAGTTCAAAAGGTGAAAGAAATTCATGTTTAGCAAATTCACTCTACAATCTATATTAAATGAAGTCCTTCAGGCAAAATAAAATTGATACCAGATGGAAACATGGATCTACAAAAAGGAACAAAAAAGCACCAGAAATAATAACTACTTTGCACACCAACTATGCAAACCCACTCTGATTTCTCAGTTGAAATGAGAAGAGATGATTACAGTGAAGTTCTCTAGGGTCTGACCCATTGTGAATAAAGCTTTATTCATTTGAACATTCTTGAACATCTGCTTTGAACATTTTTGTAAATCTCTTTTTGTGAATTTAATATGTAAATGGGGAGGCTATGGAAAACTTCTCATGTGCAGTGAGCAGTAAAATGCTTTGCTCTGAATTTACACTGACCACTTGCTTCCTGGTAACAAAAGACTAACTCACATCTTGAATCCCATTTTGAACCCACAATTCTGGGAATGGGCTGCAATGGACTAAAAGTGGTCAAATTAAAAAGAAAAGCAATTCCTTTCTCTAAGATTGCAACATCAAACATGGAGCTAGCACTCTGCTTTTTGTTGTTTCTCTTTATGAAACCCCTCTCTTTGCTTATATTGAGGGACACATTCCCTTCAGTATTCTCCCTGTTGCAACATCCTGAATAAAGGATTCACTCACTTACAAAAACAAAACAAAACAAAGTAAAGCAAAATATATACCTTTTCTAATGTGAAAAATGATGTAATAAAATAACTATGTGCATTTATAATGTCTGCCTGTATATCATCCTATTAATTCTAAAAAATGAACGATGTAGTTAAGATGGTGGCTTCCCCTAATTTCTTCACCACCTTATGCAAATTTATCAAGAATGGACTTTCTGTAATGAATAGTCCACTGGATGCAACCTGCTCTCCAGTTTAAGTACCACTGTCTTTAAATTCTGTGGGCACCAATCTTTCCTGGATCTCCTTTGTTTTAACTCTGAAAAGTACAACAGGATCAAACTCCTCTTCCACAGTTCATGTTAATGATTGTTTAGTATTCTTCATGCTTCCATCTTTTAACCACTGTTCACACATCTACACTCTTCTTTGGCAATATTAACCACTCCTTTTGTTTTAGGTAGCACCCACAACTTGGTGACTCACAAATATGTGAATCCTCAATGCTTCAGATAAACCTATACAACAACCTTCTGTAGATCTTAAAAAGGATATTTCACAGGTGTTTTATATTATATTAACACATCCAAGATAGGAGTAACCATATTCCTCTCCAAAGCTTGTCTCTTTTCCTCTTCTTGTGGTTTAAGATAATGTGTAGTACAGGTACTACCCAAAACCCCCATGTTGGAAAATTCTCAGTCATTCATGGCTACTTCGCAAATTCCCAACACAGATAATGTTCTGCTGGTTTTTACAACTAAACATAATTTAAAAATCATCCACTTTTCTTTAAATCGCTTCCCTATATTTTCCCTTTAACATCTTTTATGGTGTCCTATATGGTTTTCCAGCTAATTTTACACCCTTGTCTTCCATTCAACAACCTGAGTGATGTGGCATGTCTTCCCCTGAGGAAAACCTTTCAATGTCTTCCCATTGCCCAAAATCCTTAGGTCCCTTAACCTCATCTCACACTAGTCTTTGATTTATTTTTGGGAACCAAATTCCAGGTAAATTTGGTTTACCTGGCCAGTCATGTGTTATATAACTTCGATATCTTTGTTCACTATTAACTCTGCTGAAATGTTAATACTAGCCCTTTCTCTGATTTGCAATGTCTTTCTTCAGTTTAGGTTTCACCACACACAGTCAGCTTTTCTTAACTCTTCTGCATCATCATTTTGGTTAGGTATGCTCATGGAACTGTGTGCATGTCTCTGTTAATTCCATTATCGCAGCATGTGGTGTATGTGTTTAGATGCATGTGTATTTCCATCATTTTGAGGTAAACAATAATTTTTAAATCTTCATGCAGAGCAACATACCTGACAAAGAGTAGTGGCTCAATAAGTATTTATTGAACTGTTGTCAATGACAAGAAATGATTTTCCTAATAGTACTCAGTAAATAGTTATTAAATTGATGTCTTTGTCAATAAAGGATTATCCTGAAGGAAACATTAATATAACTATTTTCTTAAATAACTTACTATATACATATTTGATTTAATAATTTTATGTTAACAAGGCAGTCATGTAGGAAGCAAAAATATGTCTAGAAGAACATAAACTTTTAAAAATAGGGATATTTGAAGTCTATATAGGTATACACATTTTAATAATAAGTTATTTTTATGAATAATGCTCTAGAGTTCAGTCTCCACAGTTCAATTTGGCTTATATATTGCCATAGATTCAATTTTCACAATTGTATTCTCTGTCATAGAAACAAAATGATTCCCAGGGTCTATGGTTTCAGTAGCTTTTGTATCTGTAGATAATCAGCTAGTCTTACTGCATTATTTTTTACCATTGTGAACAACTGTGTGCATTTTTATCATCCTGGTTAGATTTAGAAGTGCAATTTCTAAATAAAAGCCATTAGAATTGTATAGATTAGATTACAAGAAAAAGGACATTGCACCAAAAAAATGCATAATTGGAGCTTTCAGGTTTTCCATACCCTTAACAGTTCATGCCGTAGAATGCATCCAGAAATTACCAGTGGGGAAAAAAATGAAACTAATTAAGTAATATACAGATATAGTTATTAAAAATCACTAAAAGTACATTATTTTCTCCACTGCAATAGTTTCATGAAAAATTGTTTCTTGCCATCATGACCATTGCTATAGTCATTACAATTTTTATTATATATTTGTAGCCAACTCTCAATTCAATCTAAGCCTTACTTCTTTTCTATATAAAAACAAGGAAAAATAACCTGTTAAAGTTCTCTGACTTTGTGATAAATTACTAAAATGACATTGCCTCAAAGAGACATATTTTGCTAAAGTAAATAAAATTGCATCAAGTAAAATTCAAGCAGATTAATTGAGAATTGATTATTCAGCTTTCATTATTATAAGAACCTATTTTATTTGTCTTCAGGGAACAAAATATACAAGTGTGATTTTATAGAAATGGATTACATTTTCTCCAGGCAAATCATTTGATAGACTATTATTCAAACATATTACTTCATAGATGTTAGTCAGTAGAGGAAAGGGGCATTTTCTCTTTATGAAACAGCCTTTACAACTAAAGATAACCTTAATCATCTTACTTGTGTGATGATTATATCACAGAATTTCTGAATATTTAAATTCCAGTGTTTGTTGAAGTTCTGCTTTAACCCTATGCTCATGTGCAACCATCAGTCTATTGGCAGAAATGATGTTTTCTTACCTGAAATGAAGTAATTGGATATATATTAACATGAGCCTCATTCCATCGTTGTCCTTTATTCCCACTTGAAGACCACAGTGGATTCTCTATTGTTGTCTGCCCTTTCAAGCGTAGATAAACATTTAAAACACCTAAAAATAACAATCGCATTTTAATTTGTATAATTGTTTTTGCTACAAATGCGTTTCTCTTCGACCAAACACTTTTAAAAATTAATTTTTTTCAGAACATTCTAGTATCTCTTCCTCTCCTCCCCTCTTATTTTCAATCTTGCTCTTACAACCTTTGACTGCATGGTAGGGCTCCGAAGATGATAGCTTTCTAACTCCCAGAACCCGTGAATATTACTTTATATGATAAAAAGGCTTTGCAGCTGTGGTTAAATAAAGGCTCTTGGATGGGGAGATTATAGATCATCTGGGTGCATCCTAAATGTAATCACATATAACATTTTAGGGTGGAGGACAAGAAAAATGTGATGCCGGAGAAAAGGTCACGTGAAAGAAAGACGCTCTGCAGCTCTGTTTGAACATGGAGGAAGGATCCACAAGCCGAACACAAGCAGCCTCTAGAAGCCAGAAAAAGCAAGGAAAGAGATGAGGCTTTCAGAAGAAACCAGCCCTACTAAAGCCTTGATTTTAGCCCCATTATACTCATTTCCTCATTATAGATTTCTGTCCTCTGAAAATGTAAGGTAACAAATCTTTGGGTTTTCTTTAAGACACAGAGTTTGTAATAACCTATTTGTTTCAATACTAATAGGAAACTACTATAGCCCATGATCACATTCTGACTTGACTGACTTGTCTAAAGTCTGACTATCATCCTGTTGTCTTATATTATCAGTTAGCACCTGTTTTGAAGTTTACTTCATCTAAGTCTCATTCTTCTATAAATATTTGCAATCAAAAGAAAAATAGCTTTGTCTCATGATTTGATACACCTCTTTTGACAATTTCATGTCCTCCTCATAGTAATAATAGTAATGAAAGTGCTACTAATAATAAATGTGTTGAACACTGGAGATGAAAAATTAATCCTCTCAACAATCTTATGGAGTACTTGGTATTATCCCCATTAGAGAATATTTCGCCAGAGCATAATTCAAACTACTGTGAAAGAGCCTTCTGGTTTTCTTCATGTACCAGGAACACTGATGAAGTCTCTACTCTAAATACTTAAAACTTCAGGAAGAAGAAAAATTTTACCCTGTGCAACAGCATGGGTGGACGTGGAGAGCATTATGCTAAGTGAAATAAGCCAGTCAGAGAAAGGCCGGTACCATAGGATTGCACTCATATGTGGAATCTAATGAACAAACTGAACTAACAAGCAAAACAGAGACAGGTTCACAGAGAGAGAGCAGGCTGACAGCTCTGGGGGTGGGGAGTGGAGGAACCAACAAAAAAGAAAAAGAGCTCAGGGACAGGGACAACAGTGTCGTGATTGCAGGGGCGGGGGAGAGGAGGAGGGTGGGTGGAGGAAGAAGAAGTTATGGGGGGATATATGATAATGGAAAAAACAATAAAAATGAACTATTAAAAAAATGCCATAAACTTCAATATTTTGTGATGCTCTTCTACTGGGAATCTTTGAGCACCTCATCTCTGTTCTGTTGTCAGCTCTGTAAACTGCTATCATAAGCATCAGGTTTTCTAACCTTAACAAGAAAACTGACTAGCCTTCAGGCAAAGATTCATGGGGAATCCCATACAAGCATCTAGAGTCAACCCTAGACACTGCCTCTGTTTCTATTAACCAGACTCATGGATGGTTAATGAACCATCATCATGGATAGATGAAGTAATGACTTCAGCTGCCCAGTACTCTAACCTCAGTGTCCTCAACTCAGTGGGATCTCCACATTCTGCTGGAATTTCAGGGCCTGTGCCAGGGCCAGGAAATTGTCCTCAGGCAGAGAATTGGACTCCTGTGGAGATCTCTTTTGTCCCATTTTTTCATATATCTGTTTTGCCTTGACTCTTTTTTAAGAAAATATTTTCTGAAAAACGTTACTATATTTTGCCCATTTGAAGAGTTATTTATGAAGGTAGAACTTGTCTGGAAAAAGTTAATACCGAATGGCTTCAGACACCCTCATTTTGATAACTTTTACAGATAATCATATTATTATTTAGATGTTTATATGTATTTTATACAGATATCTTCCATATTATATATATTGTTCATGTGAATATTGCACATAAATACCGAAAAGCAGAAAATATAATATAAAAATCACCATTATACTGATCAGTTAGAGGTAGCTTCTTTAATAATTTGGTATGCCTTCCTTCAGTTTCTTTTTTAATGTTGTTCTACAGCTGTACAGTTATATGGCATAGAGTAATTTATCTTTCAGATTTAAGTGGAATTTTGTCTATTCATACATAAGACCACACACATTGATATGACACAGAAATGCAGGAGTATGAATATCCCCTTTTTAAACAATGACAAAAACTGCATTCTTCACATCACAGATGACACTTACTAGCTAGGTGAACTTGACTTAGTTTCTTAATCTCTTTGTCTCAACTCCTTTATCAGGTAAGTACCATAAGCTTTTTGGGAGAATTAAAATGAGTTAAATTATGTAACAATTATATCTCATACATAATCTCTATATTTTATTATTAGCTCTCAAGATGTTAAGATAATATTTCTCTATTAATACCATAGATTATATTTATATTAGTAAATTTCTTTATTTCTTTTTTTTCTGAATACATTTGCCTTCATTTTCCCGCCATCACTTTCTCCTGCCCCGCTCACCCCCACCTCCCACCCTCAATCCTTCCCCACTTGGGCTTTGTCCATGGGTCCTTTATACATGTTTTTTTTATTTGACCCTTCTCCTTCTTTTCCCTGATACCCCCCTCCCTCCTTCCCTCTCATTACTGACATTTTGTTTTCTCTTTCGATGTTGCTGGTTATATTTTCCTTGCTTGTTTTTTGTTGTTGATTAGGTTCCACTTATAGGTGAGATCATATGGTATTTGTTTTTCACCCCGGGCTTATTTTGCTTAGCATAATGCTCTTCAGTTCCCTCCATGCTGTTGCAAAGGGTACTAGCTTTTTCCTTCTGGTGCATAGTATTCCTTTGTGTAAATGTACCATAGTTTTTTCATCCACTCATTTATTGATATTGAACTATGATTATATTACAGGAATAAATTTTACTTGATAATGGACTGCTGTTCTCTTATTATGGTTGATACAAGTTGCTAGTATTCTATTTGGAAATAATGCCTGTATATTTATAAATAACATTCTCTACTTTTCTTTTGTGTTTTATCTTTTTATGTTGCATGATCACTTTTTGCTCCTCTATCTTTTCCCCTTTAATGTAAGAAATAATCTCCAACTTGTCCTCTGCATTATTGATTTTATTTTCTACAGTGTAGATTTTGTTCTTCTGTTTCTAATGTCATCTTTATTTGGTTGTTGTATAATTTATCATGCTATCTTCTTTTCTAATTATTTTTATTTTATTGTATTTTCCATCACCATTTATACACCATTCCACCTCCACCCTTCCCCTTCCTTCCTGCAATCACCACACTATTGTCTCTGTCCATGAGTTTTTTCTCTTTTCATTTTATTTTTGATTCCCTTCTTTTCTGACCTCATCAAGTTCCCCTTTATTTTAGTCACTTATCCAGTTCCTTCTTTTCCTGAGTCCACTGCTGTATCATTTTTATCTTTCATTGTTGCATAAAGTTTATACTCTTTGTATATGATTGAAACACAAAGCATATACTATGCAAATTTTATTGCCACCTGAATTGTCAGTATGCCTTTTTCAACATGTGCGCTTCCTTTACCATGGTCACATTAGCCTCATTTTGAGGTGTGAAATTTTCATGGGAGCCTTATTTTCTCACTCTCACTCTCATTTCCTCTTATCTTATTTATCTCTAAGGAATGTTAAGTATTTCCTGTGGCATTATTCCCCAAACCACTATTGGAGCTCCTTTTATGTATACAGAATAAATTAGATTTAGTTGGCACCTCCTCGAAGAACTAAGGCTGCAGGACTGATTAACCAAGGTTTCACTATTACTTCAAGATTCAACAATCTGAGAAAAGTGGAAAAGCATTTATGCCTTTGGGCCATTTAGGAGCTGAACTTTCTGGGATTTTCCCACTGTGTGGGTGAGCCATTGTGGCAGGGAGCAGCTTTCTGAATCCATCTCTTTTTAAGAACAAGTGTGGCTCAATTTTTCTTGCTTGTTGGTGCTGATGCTGGTACCTTTGCATCAGAAAGGCAACCAAGTGCCAAAGGCAGAGCCACCACAGAACATACTTCGGTGTGATGTCACTGCATTCTATTGTTGGACATTAATATACAACAGGGAGGGGTTACAAGGAAATCAAGCCCAAATAAATTATAAATGGTGTTAAACTGTAAATAATGTAATACTTTTTTAAATCTATAAGCTGTCTGTTATTGGACTATGTGTTGTATAGCACATTCCTTTCAGAAATTATTTGAATAAATGGTCTGTCTATGAATTAATTAAGAAAAGGGCTCCTCCTCTATTTCATGGCTGTGCCTACTACAGCCTATGTCTGGATTAGTGGCAACTGACTGGTTTGAGCAGTGATATGCTCTACTGGTTTCTCCTTAACACTTTACTGCTTTTTCAGAAAAGAAAGTATTAGTTATCTCTTTTTTCTTTTCCTGGTCTTTTGGTATTTTTTAAATGTAACCCCTTAGCTTCTTTATCTAGTAGAAGTCCTTCAATAGCTTGCATTTAATGAATGAAGTATGCCCTTTTTAAGCTACCGATGCAATACAAGTTGTTCCATAAAAAAATTACCAGTAAATACTCCAACAAATATGAGGTTCTAACATAAATAGATGGCAGTTAATGACTTGCAAATTTATATGGAAGTCTTATTTCTCTTGGGGAGCATGAACATTCATTTTGATTGAAGGGACAGAAATCAATCCTGTCATCAGATCAATACATGGAAATTTTTGTTTAATCTTAATAAAATAACACTTTTTAGACCTATTTGTTGTAATTAGACTAACAAAGTAGTGTGTATTATTTGTTTTCCAGTATGTACTTAAAGAAATGAATACATGCTTTAATGAAATATATTAATATATGTGATTTAT